TATATATATATATATATATATATGTTTTAAAAAAAAAATCAATTCTTCTTGTTGATATCACGCCAATACTCATCCTCCCAAGCCTCAACTTGTCGGGTAATGTTAATCTTTGTGTCGAGAACCTCTTTTAGAACCAGAGGGTCATACGGAGGAGGCAGACCACAAGGATACCGCTCGCTCGGAGACATCACCATTGATTCCGCCATGAAATCCTTCCACCGTCCCGTCGCCGGACATCCCATGTTTTCCGGCGTAATCTCCGTCGCTCCACGTGGAATCTCCGGTCTGAACTTCAGCAGCTTCCCGTACTCGTTCAGCAAATGGAACATGTAATCGTATACCAACTCCATTTTCACATCCTCTCGTATGAATCTACTCCCTGCCTCGGCTATCCCACGCGCCTAATAACAAAAAAAAAAACCCAAACGAGAATCCTCTGATTAAGACGAAAGGTTCTAAAAACAAAAAGAGGTTCGTTTCAAAAACCTTGTCGATGTGGTTATTGCCCCAATGGACGGCGAATTTGAGAGAGGTGCACTTGGAGTTGTCACGGATGGGCCAATAGTGTTGCAAAGGCATCATCCCTCTTATGTAGAAATCGTAAAAGCGCGGCCTAACGTACAACGTCATGGAGTCACATGCCATGATGTATTTCTCGCTCACGGACCATGCCCATCCTTCTATGTATATCTTGTATCTGCCACGCCAATAAGAATCAAATGAAACGTTTTGTTGATGTGTATATATATATATATGGTTATAAATATTATTATAAAACTACCTGTGGGTGCATTGGTTCTCTAAGTTTGAGCTCTTGAATCCTTCTTTGGTTTCTTTATCCCAATCCTTAAGAAAATTAGACATTCACTAAATTAGATAAACAATGCAATCCTCTCACATGTACAGATATTTACTTACATTCAGGTTCAATTTGATATGATCATATACAAAAACGTGTAGATATATTGGACCGTGGCTAATTTTAGACAACCTGAATATAGAGACGGGTGTTCCAATCCTCCCGGTCGGAGACATTACACCGAAGAAGATCTCGTCGGGTGGGGTCCACGTGAGGGTTCCCTCTCCAATAGGCGTATGGTGTCCTATCCTTCCATTGCGTCATCTTGTTCCCTTCTTTTAGGGCCTCGAGCGATTTTCCCCACGGCTTTATATTCACCTCGGCCCTAGGCCCAATACACAAGCACATTTAACTATTTGTGTTAGGCCCATTAAAGGCCCATAATCAAAACATATGGGTAGACTTACCAGCCCCAGAAGGACCAATCGGGGAAGACGATGTCCAAGCTGGCGTCGTCCGAGCAGTAGCGGAAGAGAGGAGGTGGGCCCGCGGGTTGACCCTTGAAGTCATTAGATCGGACGGTGGGGCGGTCGTTGCAGTCAAACATGAGTTCGAGATCTGGCAATCTACCGGGGTACCACCGTATCAGCTGTAGGATGCCCCACAGCGTAAAAACGTCTCTGGTCTGAATGGCTTTCCTGTACTTTTTAACGTACACCTTACCGTCGAGGATCACCACCCTGACATGCGCCGTCTTCTTCGCCCGTTCGATCATGTCTCTGGTGATTCCCGTCTCTTTCCACGGCCGTAGATCCTCGTGGATCCAACGGAAGTACGATGGACACGTGGCGCTTGATCGACGGCTGCGATTGGTTTTCTCTGGCATGGGAATATCCCGTGTTTGGTTCGCTACGACGTCGCATTTGTGAGGGAATTCTCGAATTGTGTTCGTCGTTTTGCTGGTGTTTCTTCGCGTGAAACCTGCAAAAGTTGTCTGAAAGAGAAGATGTTCGATGTCAAAGAAACAGAGTTAAACCAACCATTTTTCATCGGCACAAGATCAACAGTGTCAAAGAGCTCGACTTTTGCTGACGATAACTAATAAGAAAATTAGGGTTCTTTCTCGTTTGCATATATATATATACACACTTACGAAGTCAAGGCAACCCAAGAAGTCAAAGAGACCAGCCAATACGAACAGCGAGGAGATGAAGAAGACGGTAGCCTTGGCGATGCTCTTTCCCCGCTGCGACGTCGTTTTACCCAGGAAACGTCGGTTCGTATTCGTGTGATGGTCGTTCCACTTCATCTTGCCTCTCGCCTTACAGACCCGCATGAAATCGCCTATATATACATCTCTGCAATGTCTATATATAACGAATTCGTCAGTGGGGGAAGAAAACGAGGAAACGGAGACCAGCATATGACGCAGACGACGACGTAGTTACATGGGATTGACGAAGACGTAACCGATAAGGCCAAAGCCTTTTGTTTTGTGCTTTTCCACGAGGATTGGTTCACGTTTCTTCTTCTTAGTTAATGGCTTCCTTCCACAATCTTTTTTTTTTTTTTTGCCACTAATATCGTCACTTACAAATGCTGAAATACAATACTTGTGCCAACCCTTGCAATTTTCATGCGCCGCTCCTATATATGCGTTTTGTTTTGTTTTGTTTTTTTAGTTCGTGGGTTCATATTTTCACGAAACAATAATTAAAAAAAAAATAGTGGCAGCTTTCATATGAGATGATGAACTAGGTAGAAGCACAAAGAATTTTAGAAGCGCGTTACTCGGCCAATGCTATATGCCACGGTATTCTAAATCCTCGTATTGTCAACATCCCACTTGATCCCATATATTTCATATTGATCGGGAAAACTCGAAAGAAAAAAGGCATACTGTAGTGATTATTATCGCGCAACACCGTCTACTTATAATTTTTATGCATTTATGACTTATTATTTCACTTCTATTTTTCTTAGATTCATTATTTTGTTTTATTAGTATGAAATCTAATATCTGTATTATTGTTTAATAATCTCCCTCTATAAGATTGTTTATATGTATAATATTTAACGTTAACAACAAAATTAATTTAAAAAAAATAGAGAGCAAAAAGATAAAGTTCCTACTCTCTCTTTTGTTTTTTAAATTTATTATATGGACAGTATAGAGTTTACTCAATCCGGCTGTGATTTGTATCCATGAGTTTAGAAAGCCGAAATAACCTAAGGTACTTGTCGGAAATCCTTTGCCGTGTGTTATAAATCGTAATATTATATATATATATATACACTCTCTCTCGATAAAGTTTCTACTTTCTTTTTTGTTTTTAAAATTATTCTACAAAGGTTTACTTGCACTTGTTTCTGTTACTTTTAATCTCCCAAATCTAGAGGTGTTTCAAATACTTTCGAGGCCCTATACAAAATATAAAATTTATTTATTTTAATTGTAAAATAATTAAATATAATTTATTATAAATATTATGAAAATATTGATATAAATAATTGTGATGATAATATTATTATTAAATTAATAAATATTATTTTAAACTATGAATTTATTTAAAAAAATTATTTTAGGGGTCCACCTTATTTTGGAGAGTGTTGTAAAAATATTTATTAAGAGAGATAAAACTAACTTTAAAAAACTCGTTATTTTATTTTTTTATTAAATATTATTTTAAAATTCTCCCGTTGAACCTGCCGTAAGACGCCGAATTGAAATTTGTCTTCGAATTCAGTTCTCTCCCTTAATTCGACGATACTGAGACATATATACACCAACAGTTATATGTAATACTCGTTATACGTACACATTCACACATATAATACAACGCGGGTAGCTTGTTATCTGTCTTTGTATTTTTCTATTTTCGTATTTTTATGAAGATCACAAGTAGTAGGAAAACAATGTATCCTCCGTTACGTATTTATTTTTAAAATTATTTTATTTATCTGTCCAGTGAGCGTCGTATTTCCACAACTGGGGGCGAAGTGATTTGTTCCTACGTGTGTGTCTAATTCTGACACGTGCATGTCTCCCCACTTCGTCGGGAATTTTTTTTTTTGGTAAAGAAAATAATTCATGAGGAGGGGAAAATTAGGTACATTTCCATCGAAGACTTTTCTCCCGCTCACACGGTCATGGTGAAGTGAACATTTTCCGGGGGAATTAATTATCGGTGTTTATTGCGCAATTATCATAAACTAGGACACTAGCGAATAATTAATTATTCGGGTTTTAAAGGCTATTGTTGGCCTGCTTTCGTATTTCTCTTGCAAGTCCTAGACTGCCTAACCACCACTTTCCACGAGTGAATCAATGGTTGCAAGTCATCATGGCTGTCACCATTCGGGCGCGCTGAATAAATAAACCTCTGATTCGAGAATAACCTTTGTATATGGATCATATGAATTCAAAAATTATCTCTCTTTCCACCAACTAGAAATCGAACACTCGACTTGAAGGTGAAATCACTCCCACCTTGACCACTCGTCCTTGACATATTGGGTTTGGCTGTATGATCTTTATTTGAATTGAATTAAATTATTACGTATATAAGCATATCTATATATTTGTTCATGATGAGAAGAACCGTAACATATGTGTTTTTAGAAAATTAGCGTAATCCATATATATATATACACACACAAAACTATATAATATGCGAGTGTGATGAATGATTTTACCTTTAAGAAAAAGTTTGTGCGTTTAATAAGTAGAAACTTTCACACTTTAACAAAAGCAATGGATCTAGAATACTGTTGGCCGAGATGGTGGGATGTAAAGCGTCGTATTTAACAATTTAATATGCCTATTATATTGAATGAAAAACTTTATAGCTCGTAAAAAATACTCGTCAAATAAACCAACTTGTAATTTAAAAGAAAAGAATCAATAACTTTTGAAATATTCTATGGTTAATAAAATCTTTATTTAATAAATTATTGCAACCCATACTTATATTCCATAAACCAAAAAATAAGGGGACCTAAACCCTAGTACATTTTTTTAAACTTTGTTTTACAAAGAGCACCTCTACAACGAGATGCATCGCGGCTGGAGGCCTTTGGGTTTTCCTTAGTCGAAACATAATGGGCCTAATTAAAAGCCCAAATAAAATTCAGAAACTCGTCGTCGGCTCGGCCCATTAGCATAAGTATATAAATAAATGGAGAAATATATTGCCAGCTAGACAACCAACCAAGTCGTAATATGGTGGGTCCATATCTCACATGCCCAAAGACCAAATCGTTTTCATTATTTTCCCCCACGCGCCTCTTTATAGCGCGTTACAACACGCCATCCATCGCAAAGGGACAAACTCACACATCGGATACTTGACACAACAATTAAATCCAAAAGGACAAAAAAAAAAGAGTTACATCTACGCGCCTGTGAAGCGCGTGAAGAAAGCGACCACTCGTTATATCTGTCTCCAGCGTGTCCACTTGTCAAAGTTACACGTTTAGCTCCTCAAGACACATTTATAATATATATATAAAAAAAAGCTACATTGAAATTGAAGTATATCGATGAGAAAATCTGTATAGTCCGCCATTTTTCTACCGTGCTTACGTGGCAATTATTAACCGCTTTACCTGTCGGCGCGAGGAATACAATCACATGTTTCGCGGCGTAAGTAATCCACAACAGCAAGCGGTTTCACAACCGTACGATCACGTGGGTACCGAGAATCAACGGCTAGGAAAACGAGCGGATTACGTGCATCGCACAGCGGGAAACACGCTGCACCGTATCGCTTGATGGAGAGTATAAAGTCTCTTTCCTCATGGAAAAAAAAATCTGATTTATCCATTTATAGGTCTGATTTTTTTTTTTCTTGTGGGGAAGAGGAAATTTTAGTTGTTCTTCGGTTGAGAGGCAATGGCAGATGAGCAGAAAAACAACAAGGTCGAAGCAGAATTGCCGGCGGCTGCAGCTCCGGTGACGGTCCCGGCGGCTGCAGCGCCGGAGGCAGCTCCGGCGGGGGTTTCTAAGGACGTCGCGGAGGAGAAGATTCAGAACCCTCCTCCTCATGAGGACAAGCCCGACGACTCGAAAGCCCTTACCGTTATCGAGAGTATGCTCTCTCTCTCTATACTTACATACGACTGTGTGTATATATATACTATATAAGTTCATGGGTTTTAGGATAAATGTGTATAAATCGTTAGTTATCGATAATTGAGTGAAATTTGCTTGCTTGGATTGAAAACGTTTTTAGAACGCGTGAATTACTTTCTGGGTTTGGGGTTCATCTTCACGAATTTGCTCACTTCTTTAAGTTTCTAGTATTTTATATATGGTTCTTCGGTGGTGATTAACCATGTTTTTGTGACAAGAGAGATTAAGAAATAACCTCTGATTAAACTATTGATCTATGATTATTAAAGTATATGGACAGCTGTTCTCCGTTGTCTCTCTCTTTTCCGGTCCTTAATAAGATTACTAATCTCGTTTTATGATGACTAAATTACATAATATATTGTGATAGAATTTCCTTGACTCTATCGCATGACTCGTATATTTCAAGTTCACTAAAGAGTAAGCAAAATTCTATCTGTCGGCGAGTTCATGATCTTTATTTCTGTTTTTGATAGTTCAGCATCTGAATCGCGCACAACAAAAAAGTTCAATACCCGAATTGCGAATTCAACAAAACTCTGCGGCTTTTCTGTAATTAATTAGTTCTCCTCTCGGTTGAGATTTTGTACGTAGTTTCAGTGTACAGCACTTCGGTTGGTGTTTGCATGAAAACGTATATCGAATACAGTATACGTATTTGTGAGTATATACGTTTTTACATGTACGTGTGTGCATGATCGGCCTATCTTGGATACCGTTGTTCTGAAACGTGAGCTATTTTACAGAACCAGTAGAGCCTGAGCCGAAGAAAAGTTCGTCAATGGACAGAGGTACTTAGCTCTCGCTTTCAAGAACTTTCAACGTTCAGGCAAGTTTCTTACTTCACGATTAAACCATTTGCATGGCGGCGTTGTCTTTTGTCAGATGTTGCATTAGCAGACCTGGAAAAGGAGAAGAGATTATCGTTCATCAGAGCGTGGGAAGATAACGAGAAGACTAAGGCCGAGAACAAGTAAGATATGAACAACCAGGCTTGATGAACTTGTTGGTGAGAGATATTTGTCTAAATGGATGAAACCAATGGCATGTTTTACAGTAGCTTATGCAAGGATTCAATTTGAGTTTACGAATTTTTCGGACAGGGCACAGAAGAAGACCTCTGATGTTCTTGCATGGGAGAACAGCAAGAAGGCTGCCATTGAAGCCGAACTGAAGAAGATCGAGGTAACTGAACTTGTCTTTTTCTAGCATTTGAAGATTTCCTGATATGGTTCAGAGTTAGTGAAGTGATTATTTGCAGGAACAACTGGAGAAGAAGAAAGCAGAATATGCAGAGAAGATGAAGAACAAGGTGGCAGCGATCCATAAGGAAGCAGAGGAGAAGAGGGCAATGGTGGAAGCCAAACGAGGAGAAGAGATTCTCAAGGCGGAGGAAATGGCTGCAAAGTACAGAGCCACTGGGAACGTCCCTAAGGCCACATGTGGATGTTTCTAAAGCTTTACAGAACCTCTCTCTCTCTCTCTCTCTCTCTCTGTAAGATTCCAACAGTGAATCATCTCCCCATCAAACACAGATCTCTTCACAGCTTTGATCAAAAACCATTGTTTGTAGATTCCTCTTTCTCGTTTTTTGTTCTTTCTGGGTGTTCTTTTGTGTGTAAAAACAGCATCAGGGTGGGGGTGCTTTCTCATTTGTAAGTTTCTGAAGCATCATTCATAGTTTGTGCTTGTCAATGTCCATAACTGAGTTGGAGAAATGAAGTCAATAGATAGGAACATACAAAAACAGAACATAGATGATAGGTTAAGCCTGGTTTTGTAATAACTACAACAAGAATCGAAGAGATCATCATCATCATCTCTTCCACAAATCTACTTAGATGGCCGAACTAATCCTGATATACATACTTGCATATATTTATATACGTCTCTGCACCATCGCCTTAACAGCTAAATTTCCAAATAATCCCCGATTACAAAAACCCACAAAAAAAGTTTGAATCTTTCCTGGATACTTCAGAAAGGGCAAACCATGGAGTCAGCAGCAGGAGACTCGTTGTAATTGTCGATGTTTTCTTCCAAGAAGCTCATGTCGTCGTGGCTTATAGGAAAATCAAGAAGAAGTTGCAGGGCACTGTCCGATGAATCCTCGAGTTCGTTGGAGCATGACGAATCGGAACCATGAACGACCATCTCTTCCTCCACACATGACTTGGAGCTCTTGCAGCTTTCTTCATTGGCATTGCTCGCAGAAAGACGGGTGGATTCGCATTTCAAAGACGAAGACGCCCGAGAGTTAGGGCTCAGGCTGGCAGATTCCTCTCTGCAGGCCAAGTTTCTGAAAGATTCACCGATTTCAGAGTTCCATATGCGTAAGAAGTAATCGGAGTCTGATTTTCCCGCAGGAGAAGGGGTGAAGAGCATTGACTCTCTTGAGAGCCTGGCCTCAGCTTCAAGCCTGGCACTTTCCCACTGCGCCATGTGGCGTGTCATTGGCGAGGCTGGTGCTTGTTTGATGGCGCCAAATGAGGCTATTGGCTCATGGGTTTGGGGATCAAGCCCCATACAGAGGAGGCGTTTCTTCAGGTGAGTGTTCCACAAGTTCTTGATTTCGTTGTCTGTTCTTCCCGGGAGCTGAGCCGCAATAGCAGCCCACCTGGAAATATCCCCATTACCATTTAGGGTTCATCATAATTTGCAAACAAGAACCAGAAGACGCCTAAATCAGGCAATGTAGCTGAGAACTGAGACCTGTTGCCAAGTATGGCGTGCAGCTGAATGACGAGTTTCTCTTCATCAGGAGTAAAAGGTCCACGCTTTATGTCTGGTCTTAGGTAATTTGTCCATCTCAGCCTGCAACTCTTTCCACAGCGAAGCAAACCTGTACGTATAGCCAACACTCACCCTCATCATTCCGACAACTTGCCGGGAACAAAACAAGAACAAAAGAAGAAAATCAAGGTTGAATCCCCGAAACAACGGCATACTCTACAGATTTCTAGTTTTCTATTGAAGGGCTTCGCAGGATCCTCCTATTACGTAACCAAGTTATGGATCAAGACTTTCTCATAAGCCGAAAGTGAAAGAACGAAACTTTCCCATGAATCAAGCAAAAAGAGGAACAGGGTATCATAAGAATCACTCTCATTGCACGATTTCGACCCACGGGACGGTGAAAGAAAACAAGAAAGCCATCTGAATATTACCGGCAAGCTTGGGAAGCGTACGCCAGCTTCCATGGCCGTTACTCTTGATGTAGTTAACGAGAATCTCGTCTTCTTCAGGTGTCCATGGCCCTTTCTTCAAACCCTTCTTGTCACAACAAGGCGTTCTTCCCATTTTTCCCTTCACTTATACCCAACAAACACTTTGTAAAAAGGCCCTTTTTTAAAAAAAAAAGATTCAACACGAGACAAACACACAAACCATCAAACGGCTAAGAGACACATAGACAAAGACAAAGCTGAAAAAAAAGTAGGAAAGAGGAAAGGATATAGAGATAGGGAGAATGGGAGATGACTATTAATGCTTGGTGTTTTTTTTTTTTTTGAAATCATGGAGATGAGGAAGAAGAGCCAAAGAAGGAGGCAATGAATTATGGATCATTATATGTAGCATAAAAAGGAACAGAAAATAAATAAGAGAGAGAGAGAGAGAGAAGCAACAGTAAAAAGGAAGACCAGCGAGCTTCGAGCCGGCCATGCATTTAATACCCACATTGTACAATTTTATGTATAGTATTTATGTTCTTGACAGCAACAGGCGGTTTCCATAAATTTGAAAAAATCAAGATTGACCTCTAAAATTAAATCAATAAAAAAAGGAGATAAATAAGCTCAAGCCATGATTGCAAAAACTAGGATACCGACATTCATGCCACCGAAACCTGCATATGTTGAAATTGCAATATTAAAATACTAACCAAAATCTATGGAGATATACATCTCTTGTATATCTACGTATACATGCATGTTTTTGAATGGCGAGATAAGATTGGAAATACTTGGATTCCCTCCACCTTAGGATCAACATTGAGATTTGACGAGAGTGTGATTGGCTACGTAGTTGTTCAAATTCGAGTTGCTGAAAACAGCAAGGCAAAATAAATAAGTGGGCTAGGGTTCTCATGTTTACTACTAGCACGGAACAGGAAATGCATTAATGGCGGAAATGTCACGCATATTTATATATTAAGAAGACGAGAAAAAAAATAAAAAAGAAATAGTGTATAAGTAATAAAGAGAAAGGGCAGAAGGAGTAATGGAGATGACAGTGACTTGTATTGTACGGAATGAAATGAAGGGTGACATGACGAATCCACGTTTCAATTTCTAAGACTATAAAAAAAAAAATTGAGAAAAATACAAAAAAAAAAAAGAGAGAGGAGGAGACATTAAATGAAAATTTTGTTTTGACCATGTGTGTATAGTAGTTTGAAGCTTACAAGCAATCAAAGTGGGGAGTGACCAATAAAGAAGAGACACGTGGCACATGTAGGGTCGTAACTGTGAGTGGATCCCAAGGGAGTCAAAGAGAGGAGATTTGTTGGGTAATAACCTACAGACAACGGTTTGTGCGTGTCCTCTTCACTTCTCCTTCTTCTTCTCGTAATAAATGCGGTCAGCTACAAGTCAACAACTCTTCTCCATACATACATTTTTTTCATATCTGTTTTAAATGGAATTAAATTTAAAAAAAATGCCACGTATTAATATTTAATATCCAGGGAAAAGGACATGTTACATTTGCAGAAGGGTTTTGAAGAAATTAAAGATTGTTGCCGTGGTACAACAGACTCGGTAGTATTAAACTCTAAAGCATATGCCACATTGCCTTTTGCTTGTTAATAATGGAAAATTGTTGGCGTAACAAACTCGTTAATGGAAAATGACAAACCCACTCGCCCACGTCCTCCGTTGGGGCGCCAATGGATTTTCCTTTTGCTTTCCCCCTCTTTTCCGTGTAAATTCGCGAAATGGCCCCCTATCTTTCTATTAATCTCGAAAACAACCCCTTTCTCGCTAATTGTCATTTTCTTCCCCCATTTCTTGATTCAGCCTTATTTGGAGCAATATGATTCTTTTTTCTTGCAAAATCATGTCAAATGTGCTTTTTTTGATAGCGTTGAAATATTTTTTTTTTAAACCCAATTGATTATTGTGTTTTGAACGAATATATTTTGAAAAAAAAATTATAATTTCTGGAGTATGTTGCGTGAATGTCCCTAATAAAATCTCGGAAAATATGAAAATTCGTGGCAGCGTGGGGGAAATCTCAAAAAGGGAACGGTCTGAAAAATGTCCAGACCTTAATTTGCTGGGACGTACGTATATTGTCCACAATTAGATCCCCGTGATTAGGGATCCCAAAAATAAGCCATATTTCTCAATTGGAAAGCTCCTCTAGGCGTTTCATATAACAAGCCCACGAATCAACGGACAAATCCCTTTTGGTTTATTCTCGTCCGTGTCCAGAGATCGAAACAAAAAGCAAGATCTTGGTCTGTCTTTTGTTGTTGTTGTTGTTGTCTTGAACAAGAACGATAATGGCGTTCACGGGGACATTGGACAAATGCAAGGCATGTGACAAGACGGTGTACGTGATGGACTTGTTGACGCTGGAGGGCATGCCTTATCATAAGTCCTGCTTCAGGTGCAGCCACTGCAATGGCACCCTCGTGGTATTTTCTTCATTTTTCCCTCCCTTTTTCACGCGCAGATGTGCATTGGGTTTGATTGTCATTTCACGTTTCTGATGTTGTTTTGTGGTTTAATCGCTTGCAAAAGAAACCCTAGAATGAAACCAGTCGAGGGATTTTTGTATGCATGCATGCATGCGGAGATCGGAAACTAGGGCTGATCTCTCTTAATTATTACGATCACATGCAACGACGGTTATTTTCATTATTGTTAATAATGAGAGTGTGAATGTGTTTTGTCTTGTTTGATTGGGGTGATGAAGATAAGCAACTACTCGTCGATGGAAGGAGTTTTGTACTGTAAGCCCCACTTTGAGCAGCTCTTCAAGGAATCTGGCAATTTCAGCAAGAACTTCCAAACAGGTTCCTCTGTTTTTTCTCGTCCGGTTCCTCCATTAACGAATCCTTATTTTTCTTGGCTATCGGTTCACTAACGATGCGTTACACCATATATATTGCCGTTTTTGCAGCTGGGAAGACCGAGAAATCGAGCGATGCAGTGCGTACACACCATCGAGAATCTTCCCTTTTTTTTTTCTTGTTTTAGTGTTCCGTTCTTCCCGTTGGTTCTTTTCTGATGTTGTGAAATGAATTCGCAGCCGCAGACAAGGGCTCCGAACAGGTTATCGTCATTCTTTAGCGGAACACAAGACAAATGCGCAGCTTGCCAGAAAACCGTGTACCCTCTCGAAAAGGTACGTCCGGTTCTTGACAAACCCAAGATTTGAAAAAGCTACGGCTTTTACATTTCAGGAAAATCATATATACCCTTGATCAGTTTTTCGATAAAACCATACCCTTATGTCCGATTTTTTTTGCTCGATTTCAAAAAAGATGACGATGGAGGGAGAGAGTTACCATAAGACGTGCTTCAGGTGTGCACACAGTGGCTGCCCGTTAACGCACTCGTCCTACGCGGCGCTCGACGGCGTATTGTACTGTAAGGTTCACTTCAACCAGCTGTTCCTGGAGAAGGGAAGTTACAATCATGTCCTCCAATCCGCCAACCACCGCCGCACCGCCTCCTCCTCCTCCACTCCTCCTCCCGAACTCACCGCCGATCAAGAAGACGGCGACAAATCCGATGCAGCCGCCGCAGAGGGCGGTGACGTGGCCGGCGAGTCATCGTCATCGGCTCCCGGCACTGAGGAGCAGGAACCCAAAGCCTTGGAGTCTTGAAACGTCGATCTTGGATGACCCCGGCGATCTGAGATGTTTTCTCTTTTGTTGTTTTTTGTTGGGTTTGTTAAAACTTGATGTTTTATATGAATATTTGCTTTGTGTTTGCATCAATTGCATGAATATATATATATGTATACCCGATGATGATGATGAATTTTGTAAACCGATTATAATATATGATTTTGTTCTCTCCTTTTTTTTGTTGTTGGAGTTTTCAAGGAGATTGTATATACCTAATCCACGTGGTAAGTGGTAAATACCAAATCAAATCAGTGAAAATTTGCAGGCATAATAATTAATTGTTAATGCAATGAAAGAGCATCAAACAAAGATTCAATATCTAGAAGATCTCAAGCAAAAAGGAAACAAGTCAATGTGAAGAAAAATGGAAAGAGTAAGCAAAAGGAATGAAGATAAAGAAAAGGAAAAACAAATATGATGAAACGAAATGGAAACCCTATGCAGGAGGCTGAACATAAATACAGAGGCGTGCACAATAGAAGAGATCACCCAAGTAGAGAGAGAGTGTTTGAGTCGTGAAAGCTTTGGGCATAAACATATTTGTATGGGAAACACGGGTGAGTGATACTTGAGATAGAGTGAAGTGTATCTGAGGGGGAGCCTTCAAATAACAGGCGAACCGCTCAAAGGGCCTAGACGAGTCTAGGGTTACACGGGGTGTGCGAGGCACACATAGTGTATGGGCTGATAGAATTCATGTTGTAAGGGGGAACAAACTCAGGGGAAGTTGTGTTCTTGGGATGGATTAGGCTCGAACAAAAAAGAGTTGTAATTCATGTTCTTTACAAATGAATAGAATCAGTTGGGAAATTATTGAAAGCAATATCGTGTGAATTTACTTTTTCAATTGGTATCAGAGCAGGTCACTGATCGTAGGAAATTTTTCCTCTCATATCGGTGTACGATTCAGCTTCACACGATGGATGGATACAAAGAGATGCAAGCTTTTGGAAGACATGCAATGTTCGACTCAACAAACTATGAATGCAAGGGATTTGGGCATACAAGGATGAAATATGGCCAGAAGAAGGGAAAATCATATACCACTCAAGAGAAGGAGGAAACCGAGTTAAACAGTGACGATGAAGAAGTTTCTAACTCTATTGCATTCTTTGGAATCATTGAAGAAGGAGAAGAAACTTTGGAAGATGATTCAAGTGACGAAGAGGTAACTGAGGATGACTTGTTCAACGAGATGACCAAACTCGTTCGAATGAATAGATATCTGTTGGATGAGAAAAAGCGGCTGGAGAAGGAACTCAAAAATACTTAGATCCAACTGACATCTACTCAACATCAATTGTCCCAAAAAGAAGAAGAAGCGTCGCTCATGAGATGTCAAATTGAAGAGACCAAGAAAAATCTTCATCTTCTTGGAAGTGGAACTGGTAAGTTGGATCATCTACTTGGAGAGGGAAGGAGTGCACGAGATCAATCAGGGCTTGGATATGCGGGAAAGGAGCAATATCACCCAACATTTGTGTCTGGAGGAAATCTTGAACGAGAAGTACCTGACTTAGTACGAAGTACTTTTGGCGCTGTCAGAAATACTCCAAGAGTTAAAATGGATCTGCGAACCTCTCAAAAGCAAAAAGAGCATAGAAGCTGCTATTACTGTGGGAAGAGAGGACATATCCGAAGGAATTGTTATCACCTACGACAGAAAAGAAAGTCTAGTTGGTACGTTCATTCGAACTTGAATCACTCTTATATGTCTCATCCTTCGAAGAATCATAGGTGGATTCGTAAATCCGATGTGTCATGCAATGTTGCCTGTACGTCTGAACAAACGAGTGGAGATGGTGTCTGGTATTTGGATAGCGGGTGTTCAACACACATGACAGGACGTCAGAAGCTGTTGACAAATTTTGAAGTAGGTTTGACAAGTGACAATGTCACATTCGGAGATGGAAAACAAGGGAAGATCATTGGTAAAGGAACTCTGGAATGTGGTGGAGTATCCAAGCTAATGGATGTCAAGGTCGTACAGGGCTTAAAGGCTAATTTGATCAGCATAAGTCAACTATGCGATAATGGTATTGAGGTGAAATTTACAAAGGATGCATGTTTTGTGACCAATGCGGATAACAGATGTGTTTTAACTGGGCAAAGGACATCAAGCAATTGCTACACATGGGTTGACAGCCAGATTTTCAGAAACTCTCTCAAGGATCCTAAGACAC